GATATTTATAGATATGGCATATGTAAATGAAATCTACAAATCATACATGTTAATACATACATACATACATATTTATCGATAAATATATTTCATTTATGGGCGGGTCCACGGGTCCACAAGTTCAAATTTCTTACAGGTAATAAAATATTTTCCATTTATGGGTTGCTCCAGATATTATTTACTTTATATTTTTTTTTGAAAACTAAAGTTCAATTTCTTTCATGTAATAAAATCTAAAGCAATAATAATACTTTTTTATTGATATAAAAATAGTTTAATTGGGGTTATTTCTCATTAAGTAGCTTATCAAATTACACAAAATTTATTGAAATCAGATATAAAGTAATAATTAATAATTTTTAAATTGTTAGTCATATAAATAATTTATGTCCATGGATTTAATTATATCAAAATAAAAAATTTTAGTTTAAGTAATTGATAACAATTAAGTGCAATCAAACCCAGACAAGACGCAATGTCAATAAACTCAGTAGTCAATTATAAATATTTTATAGTCATAATAGTCTTAATCTGATATATTATTATTTAAATAATTTCAAACTAATTTCTAGCAATTCATCTTATATAATGATATACATTTTCAATTATTTCGATTTAAAATAAAGAAAAGTTAAGTTCAGCGTTTGTTGTTATTGTAATACTCTTTGACCAGATAGTTATGTGAGAAATTATATTTTCTAATATATTAATTATTTATACATTTTATATTTATTATAATAATTATATTAGTTAAATATATTATTATTTTCTATCAGTTATTTACGCTGTATGTATTAGAAATTTTGGCTTGAAATTTAATTCAATAAAATTTATCAAATTTAAAAATTTAGACTCATTTTCTGTTATTTATGCAAGAGGTTTATCATATAATCTGCTCATGGAGTAACCAAGCACAAATTTAAGGCTGGCTTAGTGCATATATTACTTGCGGCAAAAATGTCTGGTGCCATTACTCTGTTGCATTAGATCCTATAGTGGCGTTATATGTGCATCTGCTTACAGTTTTAATCGCTCAAGCAACAGAATAGTGGCATTAAGCGTTTTTTGCTGCTATACAATCCCGGGCCCGAGGTAAGGTATGCCTGTTATTAAAGGCGACTAAAATCCCGGTACCACACCGACACTTATGCAGGGAGTGTGCATGGTAGTAAGTGACACGGCACTTGCAACACTCGATCGGAGGTGTAAATCCGGTACTACGGGGGTAAGTGACCCGCAGCTTCGGCTGTGCTAATCAGTTGAGGTCGCACTCGTAGTAACTGTGGTTAATACCCAAACTTACGAGGGAAGAATGTTAAATTTTTGTTCACATTCGGTGTGGAGTTGCGTGTTCACCACCGGGTGCTAAAAACCCACATTGTAGCAGAGGTTTAAGATGGGCCTCGCATTGTACCACGATGGAAGTTATGTCTTGTATGCATCTCTTCATTGGTATCGACGACATTTCTAAGGAGATTCCAATGGGACGTTGATAGATGCTTTGTATTAATACACGTGTTTTTGAACACCGTATTGTTAAGCCTCTAGGATATAGAACGTTAAGTTAAACAACAAGACATTATAGTCAAGCCTAATAAACGCTAAATAATGTTAAATATTAATAGTATAGGAATAGGAATAGTTTATCTACTGATGGATAGTCAGACGAATATCATTAAATCCATTAATCTCGTCTTGTTAATTATATATGTATACGTACAATACATTCAGTATATAAACATTAAAAAAATTCTCAATTAGTCAAATTTTATTTTAATTACTTCCAAACGTATGCCATACATCAAATTTTATTTCATAAACTGACTAAGATATAGCCATTATTGCGTTAAAACGAGTTTTAAGAAGAAATAATTTCACGAGACTATATCAAATGAGTACGGTGATTAGTTATTCACATTCGTTATGATGTCTACTGAAAACTATTATAAAATGTAGTAGTTTTTAAGTGCTATTTGTATATTATAAGTATGAATACTTTCTAGATCGAATTTACTTTATATAATCTCCGATGTTTTCTTCACTATATAGCGCTGGGTCATTTGATATCAATTATCTCCCTCCTAGTCGTGTAGTATTCTTTGTTAAAATATTTTTAGTGAATGGCATATTGAAGTGTTACCCATATTACTTTAATGACTTTATATTCTTTCAGAATTTTATGAGGTTTTCCATATCAACTTCTGATTGTTGATCTGTCTTCTAAAAAATGGTTTTCAGAGATTTGTGTTATTTATATAAATTATATTTCGTTTACTTTTTTTGTTTTTTGCCTAGTTTATATTAACTTATTTGGTCTGATTGCATTTTTATATTATATATTTTAATATTTTGTTTTTTTTTGTTTAATTTAATTTTATTCTTGTTTAAAATTATTTTATAATTTAATAATTGCATTTTGGTTGCACATTAATCGTATATTTTTAAACCTACGCATTACACACAACTGACATTGCCGTAAGACAAGTAATGCTACTATATTTAGCTACTGAATTTAACCTAACCACTTCAATTGTAGATAAAAATCTTTCAATGCTATTATCAATAATTGAAGTTATTAAATACAAAAGTCATAATATTTCGAAAATATATTAAATAAATTGATATATGTACACTCTGAAGCAGTAATTTTCAAGAGCTGACAACTTTAATTATAGTTTATCAAACAAATAAAACAACAAGTTAAACATATTCAGTAAAAAATCTACTTAAAGATTGTTAATCACTTAATTTGCGAAAAAAGTTGATAATTGGAACAGTGCCGCTTCTGAGTTGATATTGATTGAGAATTATATTTATTAACCTTCGATTTGATAAAAACTTTGGATAGGTTTAGTTAGTCAGACGTTTATCTATTGCTACTTAAGTTGTTTAAGGTGAAGTACCTATTCTCAATAATGCACTGATTTATGCACTTCTAAAATTAAATTAAAAAATTAACTACTTAATATAGTCTCAATTAAAAGTATTGTACTCATTGATTTCAAGTGAAATGATTAATCTGATTTAATAATGATCTCACTTCAATAATAACTTTTTTAAAAGAATTATTATAATTCTTAAAGCTGTTTCTCTGCTGATTGCTATATATGTATAATAAATTTATAATTTTATTAAAATAAAGATCATTCACTAATGTATGTATTTCGATATTACTTAGTGTGCAGTGTACAGTAGATTGTAGATTTGCAAAAAGAATTATCCGCCCTTAGTTACATACTGATTTTCTCTTGTTTATACACAGATTAACAAGGCATAATTACTTATTACCAAGCTGTGATAGATAAGTTATTTGATTAATTTCCTTCGGGATATTAATTATTAAATACACTAACTGATCACTTAATTAAAATATCAAACTTTTGTTTTCAAGACTATTGCTAATCGCCAGCTTCGGGCATTTAACTGTTGTTTTTGGGAATTTTTGGAATTAATAGCATTTCCAGAATATATATTTTGTTCTATATTATATATTTATTATATGTTGATGTAATATATTAACATTGCACAGATCTGGTTAATGTTTGATGTTAACACAATGTAAAACCGGTGATGCATTGGCTTATCATTTTTAATATATGGTTTATGTCCAGACATCTTTCAATCATTCTGTATCTTTCCACCACACATTCTGTATTAGATATACCCTATTTTCATCTTTACAATTCAGCTATTTAAAATACAGTCTATTGGAAATTTCTTTCTATTTAATTTTAAATTTGGTAGAGAGAGATTTGAAGAAAACGACCTATAATATAGAAGTGGTTAAATGCAAAACCATTGGTGTGACATAATTTAGAGATCCAATTTCCTTAAATGCATATTATAATAGAATTGTTATTAGCGTTAGATACCCTCTATTGTTTTAGGAAGCCATAATAGATGAATTCTTCAGGATAGAAATTAGTATACACGAATTGCGATTGATTGTGAATGTACTAGAAAAATAACTAAGAGGGAATTTGTGTATACATTAGTCGAATCACGTTTTAATTGTCTCCAGATCAGTTGAACATTTTTTTCCAAACAATTGTCTTATGTGCTCAAAAAATATTATTGCAATCACTTTGAATTGCAGAATTTGTTTAAAATTTTCCACATTAGAAAAAGGCACAAAAAAGCGTCTTTACAATCAATTTCGACAGACTTTAATAATTCTAAAACTACAATAGAAACTCTAAGCAAATGCATTGAATTTATAAGAAAAATAAATATAAAGCAATATATTTTTTTTTTCTTTTAAATGCATTTATGAAACATTCGATATTTATTTTTTTGGAAGTATATGTCATTATTTTTCACAGATCATAAACCTTTTTATTAGTTTTATATATATATAAATACTATAAAAAATTTAATAGTCGAACAAAACTATTATTAAAATATTTACTTTCACTCAGCTTTTACACAATTTAATGTGTATTTCATTTATACTATTTTATTAATATTTTAGTATTGAAAAACATTATTTCACATAAAATTGCTATATTAAATTTTATTTCTGAATATTAAATATTATTTTACTCTTCATATATTTGACATTTTTATCACCAACTATTCATATATTGAATATTTTTTGCAACAAAAACTTGATTTCAATTTAAATACAATTTATTATTTTATTTACCTGCGGTTATTTATATTGCTGAAAATTTTTTATTATTTTATGCATAAAAATTTTAATATATCAATATGGAAATATATAAAATGTAATGAATTTATTATAAATATTTGACTAAATATTTTGTAGTATTAAATATATTACTTTTATGTACAAAACATTAATTATTCAAGCATTTCCATGTGTAGTATTTTGCATGCATTTTCATACGACAAAACGATTAAAAATAACAGTAGCAATATCTGAACATGCACAAATATTTACAATATTTTCTTATTAATAAATAAATAATTTTTATTAAATCAAATCAAACGAAATGCAAGGTATTTAAATTAAATAAAAAAAATTGTAATGTACTTACCGGCGAACTGGCAATGATAAATTGTCAACACTGCGTGACATAAGCGAAACATCTTGACTAGCCCTACGTGACCTATATGGGATTTACATGCAAAAATAAATTATAAGGATACAAAAATAATAAAAAAGGAATAAAAATTTTAATTAAAAATAAAATAAAAATAAATTTATAACACTCTAAAATAATTGCTAACATATTGTGTTCTATAATATTCGGCCTTATAGCAAACTTAAATGAGAAATATATAATTATAAAATCTATAATTTAAAATAATCTATTTATCTAATGATATATAAAAATTCATAATTATAATATTAATGTAGATATATATAATTTATATTACTAAAGATATATTGGAATAATATTTCTATTTAATAATTTCAATATAATAATTTTGTAATCATATTAATTTTGTAAATTTATATAAGAAAATTATGAAACATTTTTCCCTCAACTATTTTTTATATAAAATAAAGATAAACAATATATTTAATGTATAAAAAAAATTGTTTGTTATATACTAAATTATATATATACGAAAATATCTCTTCATGGGTAATTTTTTTAAAAATGTGTTTCCACTTCAACATTTCCTTGGTCGGAAGTAATAATAAAAAAAAAAGATTTTCGAAAAAGAATTTTAAATTATAATTAAAAATTTAAATTTTTTTCTAATGAACTATTTATAAAATCATTAAGAGAAGTAGGATAAGTTAAGAACTTTTAATATTAATATGGCTAAAATATTATCTATGGCAAAATTTTTACTTCATAATATAATACAGTGATTAGGGAATGATGTGCTTGTAGAATAATAACATAAAAAATATAATCGTTATAAAAATTATATGAAACACCTAGTATACCTACATAAAGAACAAGGAGCAAAGACAAACCATTGGTTCTACATCATGAACCTTAAATCGAAAATATAATAAATAAATTTCTATATCTATACTTTTCTATAATATCGAAATGAGAGTTCTATTTAAGTTCTATTTAGTAAATTTAGTAAAGAATGTGAAAATACTAAAAAATGTATAATAAAATTTAATTAGTAAATTAATTATATTTTATATATATGTCAGCTCCGTTCTATAATTTGATACCTTAATTCGATTAGTTTGGTTCAAATAATAGTTTATTTAGCCTTTACACCAGCGTCTAGGTTCAAATCGACAATGTTGTTGGGTTCAATTACCCTGAAAAGTCGGAGATACCGGGTCAAAGCCGATTTGTTTCAGAATCGGTTTACTGCCTTAATCTTACTGTATGATGTAACAATTAAGGTGTATCCTTTTTGTATAGAGAGTTTAAAATTAACATTTGACTTGTAATATTTCTTAGTTTTATCAGTGTAATATGTAATATTATACAAAGACTTATAAATTCTTATTGTATATAATCTCTAGTTAATAATGGCTTTACTTTAAGTTAATTTTTTAGTTTACAAATGGTCATTGTAGATATTATGAAACTGAATACAAATTCTTTTAAAAATAATTTAAAATAATTTAACACATATACTAACTTAATCCGTATAATATAACAGGTATGAAAATATTTTTACTTCTTGTATCTTTTTTCAGTTTAAGAATAATTTACAAGTGCATTAGGCGTGGCCCAGTAAGTAATAAAATACGCGTGTTGCATATAAAAAATTCTGCAGTTGAAAGTTTAAATTTAGTTGATTTCCCAGCAGCATTGTTGCATATTTTTTATGATAATTTGCAATAAAAAAATTTAAATTTATTTTAGAAACAAATATTTCAGTAACAAATTTGCATTGCAGAATTTTATTGATTTATGAGCTTTACTTTTGCTTTGGTTAGCATATAATAAAAATTTAATTTCGGAAAATAAAAGCACCTTTGAATAATTAACACATTTTTATGGTTAAGCAAATAAAATCAGAATAAAAAGCATGAAAATGTTTGAATATGGGAAAAGGCCTGTCAAGGAAACCGAGATGCGCACAAAAATCATGTTGCCCACAAATTTAATTGTTTTGGTTGTTTATTTTCATGTTGTTATGTATCAATAAAAATTTCTTAATTAAAACAAATATACAACAAAAAATAAATACAATACATAAATTTTTATTTGAGTTGCAAATGAATTGAATATTAAAAAAGTTTGTATTGCCACAGATTGAAACATATCTGCACGTAGTCAAATTCACGATATCTCAAAGAAAATTTTTTACAATAGAAATGATTGGCTTTGCACGAGTACAGACAAGTATAGTCAGGCTTTTGTTACTAATAAAATTTTAATTTAATTGGACTTTGAAATGGTTTATCTGAAAATAAATTTATACATAATTTGTTGATCGGATAGATTTTATCAAAAGTCGTTTAACCAGATTATGCAAAAGATTTATATGAGTAATTCATTGCTTGTTGATGCGTCATTAGAGCGCAGATACTTTTGTTTTGAAGATGTGGATTTTGATATGTGAACACAATAACTCGGGTTTGTGTACGTGATATATTGCATGTGCAACCATGTATTTAAGTACTTTAATATAATGACGACAAAATACAAAAAAAAAAAAAGTAAATGAGTAATATATTTGACCTAAATTTGTAATTGAACTATTTTTTTTTTGTTTGAAAAGAAAATTTAAAATGGGTAATATTAATATGGATGGATATCAGAATAAATAGATTTATATGTATATATATAATATATATATATATTTATATATATATATATATATATATATATAATATATATATAATATATATATATATATATATATATATATATATATATATATATATATTATATATATATATATATTATATATATGTGTGTATATGTATTTATAAATATATTTAAATTTTAATATTTCATATTTATATGAAAAAATATATTTAAAAATTTTATTTAAAAAAACTGATTTAAAATAAAGTGCACATCGAGTTATTTAGTTTCAAACAAAATAGTTATATAGTGAAAACTTAACAAATGTATAGAATATTTGTAAATAGGTATGTTAAAAAAATAATAAATATTAAACAAAATTTTCGTACTCTTTTTAAAAAAGTTAACATTTTTATGTATTTTTAAAATAAAATAATAAAATTGATATATGCAAGGAGAACATTTTGGGGTTAAAATTTTTTTAAAATAGTTTAGACCATTTTATATTTTATGTAATGGACATTTTTCAATAATATGTTTATATATTTTCAATTAGCCCAAACTTCTCCTCTTAAATAAGTCCCTGAGCATGGTAAATAAATATTTGACTTCACATATTGTAGTGTATGTAAACTTCTTTTAGCTTTCACTACTACTTTTTGGGAAATTAACAAAAGCTATTACTTCTATAACCTCTTAAGAATAACTGCATATGGTATTATTATAGGGATTAAAGCATGTGTTCTCACAAACTTATATTTTTCCCACCACAAGATAAGTGTATCCTATGAGTGACTTTTTTATCTTTGATTCAAAATCTAATTCAAGTGACTTAGGCACCTTTATTCAAAACTACCCCTTTTAGCAGCCTTGCTCAAAAGATCGACACTGAAGTAATCAATTCAGTTAGGGTATTTAGCGACTCGTCGGGTATTGAGGCAGTAACTCGGATAAGGAATCTGATTTACTGTTAGTTATTATTTTGCATAACACCTTTCAGTTAAAAATCTTATATGTACAATAAATAAGTAAATGTTAAGAAGTTTAGACAATTATATTTAATACAAAGAGTTACGACAGTTATTGAACTACAAAAAATTAAATATTTTGACTTATCTTTTTGCAGATTAATTTGACCTAGATCCGAACGTGACTCAGACTTAGCGAGTTTTCAAAATTTATGACTAGTGCTTATTAAAATGGTGTTCAATGCTGTTAAATGGTGTAAGCATTAATTTTTGAACGAACGATTATAGAAGATAATAGGAGATTATAAAAAATATTTTAAATTTTTCTAATTTTGAAATCGCCGTCATAGTCAGCTTCTCAAACCGACATCTTTATAATCATTATTGATAAATTTCGAAATTATTATTTCTAAGCTTAATTGATTATTTTATTTTAAAGGTAATAAGGCCATATAATGCCATTTCGAATTCAATGGTTGTGAATGTAAATATATTATCCAATTGATAATATAACCTAGTCTTAAAACTAGATAAATTTAAAAATCACATTACCGTTTATAAAACTATATAAAACTATAGAAATATATTATTTTATTTTATTGGTAAAATGTATTAAATAGAAAAATTGGTAACGTAATTAAGTATAATTATAATTTTTTAAAATAAATATATTACAAAATATTTTTAATATGTTACTTATAAGTAAATATAAATAAAAATATATAAATTAGCTGAAGGCCCCAGTAGTTAGAGCTATATCTATACATGTTAGTAAACTATCATTATTAATAAATAAATAAATAAAAGAAAAATATATACATATAATTATATATATTATTTAAATATAATTTTTTATAAATAATATTTTTTTATAATTAAAAATAATAATATCTATAATATCTATTCTCAGAGATCTTTAAACTGAAAATTCTCCTATTTATTCAATATGTTACAACTCTTATCAAAAACAGAAATATTTTTACGTTTTGCGTTTATTTGTCCGAGATTGAGCTTTGCTGTCAATTTTTCCATTTAATATTTTTCTTTACCACAAAGAATAACTTATATAAAATACAAATACTGACTATAATTATTTATGACATTAAAAAATAAAATATAATTAGCAAAAAAAATAATTTCTTACCAATAGGATTGAGAACTTTTTAAATAGTTTTGCATTTTTGTTTAATTATTTATTTGAAGTACACTTGCACTCTTAAAATTTTATTTATTTAATCAGCCATCAATTTCTTTTAGTACTAAGCACTTTCTTTCTGACAAATATATTTTCTGTAAACCAAAATTTTAGAATATTGCAAATTAAGTTTAATACTTTGTTTTTTAGCAAATAAGCAGAAAAGTAAATTGTAATAGGCGATATATATTAAAAAATATGGAATGACGATAAAATTGTATAAAAATATATTAAACCTTATTTAAAATTTAATATTATAA